AGGTTTGGGGTTTTTGGTACACCCAGTATGTCTTTCACTCTTAACCCCAACAAAGACGAGACGAAGGTATACTTTTTTCAGTCGTGATTGTCCTTAAATATGTCGGTAACGCCGATCGCGCTCTCGAGATGAGTGATTGAGTGGCGTGATGATATAAATGTCGGAGAGTACGTATAATAAGGTAATCGATCAAGCATCTGTTTTTAAAATTAGTTAATCGTGTTCATAAAAGTAAACCGCAATAATATCATTTTTCATTTAATTTAAAAGAGGTACCTTTGGTCTTGAAATGTTATGCACGTAGCTGTATAATAGAAAAAATATTTCTGAAGGAAATGGGAAATATGGATTTTTTGGTTTTTGTATGCCGATGATGTCGCCATCACTTTCATCATCAGAGACAGAGACGTCCGTGTCATTACAATCAAATAAGTCATCGATGCATTCATCCATCACTACTTCGTCTAGAAAGTTAACTTCCGGATCCTGTCCTGGATTATCTGGTCGCAGCAGGTCGTTAAAACTCCCTTCAATATCACTAAAAAGCGTGAGTTCGTTTGGTTCATCGCAAATTATTTCAGTCGGCTCGTGATGTACTGGCTGAAGCTCTTGTATTAAATGATTTCTAGACGTCGCGTGAATGGAAAACCTGCCCCAATCTTCAAAATTAACTTGACAAAGATCACAACGGTAACGACACGCTCTTTTTTTTCATTTCCGGAACAAGACCTTTGACCTTATTACTGTTTTTAGATCAAAGAATTATCAAACAATGTTTCAAATTGCCCTTAAGTTGTCTGTTTCAGATTTTCCCGCCTCGCTTTCTCAAACATTATAAGGATTATGATTGGTGGTCTTGTGAGAATACTTTGCTCTCATTGGTCAATCTTTTTCAAAACATTGAGTGAAGTCAAATGCACTGGGTCAAATGTCTTTCCCCGGCCCTTTATATAATTTCATCTGATTTTTTTCATAATTACTTAATATATTCACTTCAATTCTATCAAAAGTACCTTCAAAATGGCAAGAGCACCAGACAGAAGGACTTTAAACAAGTAAGCATTATGGCAGGTTTCTTTTTTCTTAATTTTATTATTTTTTCTAACAATATAAATATATGTATGCCTTAGTGAAACGTATCGCGGTCAAACTCGCAGAGTTATACCTTTGCCCGATGGATTATTTGAAGGTAATTTTACTGTGTAAAACGCAATTATAATCACAAAATAAACAAAAAAAAGCTAGCAGTTATTTTAGTTTAAGACTAAGTATATATAAATATATATATTCATCTCAATGACAATGACGATTTTCAAGATGATGATGATGATGAGACCCAAGATCCCAATTTGCTTCGAGAGCGGTCAACTTACGGGCAAGAAGATGTGCTGAAAGAGTTGAGAGAGCTCAAGCAATTAGTGAAAGATGTGAAAAAAAGACAAGGGGATATGGAAGCTTCCATTAAACAAATTGTGAAGGAACTATCCGGCAAAAAGTTTGACATATCAAAGTCGAGTCATGCGGTATTCATTAAATTCATTGGCATTGCTTTTAAAAATTTAAATTAGCTTTCACTTTTTTACCTCGAAACTCTCACACTTCTGCCTTGTGAAGAAACATTATACTTTACAGGAAGAACTATAGAAATGTGTTATTTTATAGGAAAAGGTAAACAAGATACTTGCGAAAGCGTACATTCAGCTTGGTTGATTCTCCAAAGCAAATGAAAGCAAGACAGTAAGTCCTTAACTCCACTGAACTTTCAACAGAGTAATGCAAGATTTACATGATGAACTGTCTTTGTTAATCATCTAGGAACAACTTCGTCTTGAATTTCGCAATTCCCCGTACGGCTTGAAATTGAAGGATCTAATGGCAATGGCCGAGCAGCATGAAAAGGCCAAATTCACATATTGGCGAGCCGAGGAGAGAAGACGGGTATGAAAAGTCTAATATTTGAGCCATTTCTGTTAATCCACTTTGTATCCTAGAAAAAAAGGTTGAAAATCATACTTTACACTTGATTTTTTTTTTAGATTCTGGGAATTGGAAACTGGGCAGCTCTCGAAAGTGCTACCACAAATGAGCTTGCCTCGAAGTTATGTGGCCTTTTCGGGGTGAAATACAACACCCTACTAGAAACAGCAGTTTTGAGACAAACAGCTCTTGTGGTAAGATCCCTGAAGCAATTATCGCAATTTACTTTTAGAGTATGGTAAATCACACTAAACAATTTACCGATTGAAGGTTTGCCATCATGAAAACTCGAACTTCGACAAAAAATATTGAGTTGTTCACGCAGTAATTTAGTACTTTTTCAGCATGCCATCGTCGATCAATTTCATTCACGGCATTCAGCCAAGGCGATAACAGTTATTAAGTCTTTTCAGGTTCTTGCATGCCAGCCTGGCTTTGGATACTCTTTGCAAATTCCCCTTGAAAATTCGATAAATTCGAAAAATGAGTTGACGACACATGTTATAAACTTTTATAGCAGTCTCCATCTCTACGATACTCGTCGATGATAACAGTATTTGCTTTAACTTTCGTGCCATTTTAATCTCGATTGTATAAAGCAATTCTCCCAGATGTCGAACATTTCATAATGTGAATTACTACTTGAAAATATTTAGCTGTTTTTACGAATGAAACAAGAGTTTTAAGTATGCATCTTGTTCCTATTCCATTTGATGATTGTGACGTCAGAAGCTTCAACTGTCAACTGCTCTCATGTTCAACAGATAAACAAGCTATTTTTTTTAGCCAATGACTTTTAGGCCATATCACTTTTAACCAATCATATTTTTAGGCTACCCGCACCGCCTAATACTAGTAAAACGGGCAAAATAGAAACATTGTCGTTGGAATTATTTCGTCCTGTTCTTTGAATTAATTATAAACACTAATTATTTATAGAAATTTTATATTGCTGAAACTGGGCGTTTGGCATGCCAGAAAGACGAAAAATTCTGGTTGAGTTTTTATAAGGAAGGAAAAGCTGTAAGGAAAAGAGTTATGGGCAGAGGGGGCCAACAGAGCTCCAGTGGCAGGAAATATTAAATGAAGAATGAACATATTTGCATTTCATATTTGTATTATATATAGTTTAATTTGATAATTAATGTTCATCCCTTGTTTGGATTATAAAGTGATACCATAATTTATAAAGGAATAATTTACAGTTTATAAAATTGTTGCTGGGGAGGAAGTATTTAATTACCATTACACCTATTAATATCAAACAAAATTAAGGCCCTCATTTAGGGCCAGTTGATAATTTATCATTCATGTCACAGCAAGGCATGCAGGTGTTTTTCTACATAACTCATTAAATATCAACATAGCTCACCAAATACTATTAAAACTTAACTAATTGACATAGCTCACCAAATATTATATTGCAAATATCCCATACCTGACCTTGTTTATATCACTTAATTTAATAACTATATAACCATGCAACCCCCAGCCTAAATTAAAGTTGCTATGCAAATTAAGACTCATTAACTGTTGTTTTGAATTGTTCCTCTCAATATGGTATGTAATATATTAATATTATTGTGTTCTGTAACATTAATTTCTTTTCAAATTGAGTGCTTTTACAGTCAGATCAAATAAAATATGAATGATGAATTAGGTTGACTCTATATGTTAACTACCAAACTTTAATTCCTAATGTTAAAAACACTTTTTTGAAAATCCCTCCTTGATACGTACATAGTGTACTGTTGAAAACAAATTTTGCATCATCATAACTAAAATCTGATCACCACCTTGTTTGCAGCAGCATATGCATAATGAACAGTTGCCATTTGGTCTTACATATTTTCCAAATCTTAGATTTTCTCGGCTTATATATTTAGAATATATATTTCGTTGTTTTTTGTCATTCAAATAGTCAATATATATTCACAATAAAGTTTGCTTTGTTTGGTCTTCATCTGCAAGCAGGAATGGAATGAGCTATAATCTCTTTTTTACCTGTAGTTTTGAAATAAATGAATTTGGAAAGGACATTAGACTTCCTGTTCCCCCACCTATGCCATATAGCACTAGCTGACACTTCTTATCTTGTTGAGGTGTGAAATAAATTCTTCCTTGGCTCATTGCTGGTAGAGCCTTGAGAATATTGAATAATCTAAATCTAAAGGGCTGGCAAAATGTGGGAATTTTAGTACAGAATTTCAAATTATTCATGATCCTGATGAAGCAAGTTGTTTGGTTATATTATATATGGACACAATATATATATATATATATATTGACTATATTATATATATATATATATAATATTATAAAGATAGATATGAATATATAGGCGTATTAATACAATTTTTAGAGCGGTTTGAGTGTTTCCTATTATGTACACTTTTTGCTTTCATTTATAATTCCTTCTTAATATATCAAATCTCTTTCTATTTACTATGCATAAACGGGCGTGTCGTTCCAAGATCCGACGGTGGATTAGAAACACGCCTCCCAGTCGTGCTTGGAACCTGAAGACATCACGACTCTGTTTTTTTAAAAACAGTTTAGGGCGAGACCATACAGTAGCTTTACCTTGCAAATACTGTTGGACTTGGTTTACTTCCTAAAGCACCCGGGTTTTTCATTTTCTTCCAAATTTCCTTTCTTTTCTCATACCTGTAGTTAATTTAAACATAATTTACCCTATGTAGATTAATTGACCATTGCAATGAACACGAACAATTTTCTGCATCTTTATCTTACCTCATTCAAGAATGTCAACAGATCCGATATCGTATCCATAAGAAACAACCTTTTTAACCTTTTTAATGGTGACATTTTTTACCCGCTCGAATTATGGCCATCTCAATATCAATTTTTATTTTGGAAGAAACCTCTTACCGACACAGATACTTTTAAACTTTTTTTATTCCTTATTGGTAATGGCGCATCACCTAATTACACAGCAGAATGGATTTTAAGTTCAACTTCATGGTCAACTAAAAGAACGGCAGAAAAGAGAGCCTGACAACTTGATTTTATTTTTAATAATATAGATAATCACGGACATAGATGGTTTTATTTTGATATACATTGGGGAACTTGGTATTTTATGAATGGTTTACAAAGACAAATTAATCTCTAAGTTTTTGCACTCACCATTTATTTCCATATTTTCAATATTATTCTGTTTAAATTTCTTCTAAAAAGAAAATAATATTACACATCAATTAAATTTTATTGTTTCTATACGGTATAGCTAGGTGATTCTATATGGTTCAGTATGATGATTGCATATATATGCTTTTTAAGAACGAGGCAGAAGTGTGCTGCATTTTTTGCAGAAGTCGCTCCCTCATTTACATGACTATTCTGACTAATACTAATACAACTACACCTACATGACGTACAACTGACTTTACTTTACCACTTTTGTGGATAGAAACCCTATATATGGCATAGGGATTCTTAGAGCTAGTAATTATTGCCACATAGATTGCTAGTGATCTACTGATTTTTTGTATATTCATTATACAATATTAATTTCATAAAGCAACAAATTAAATACATATATATAATGCATCTACAGTAGAGATGCATATTTTTTGGTTCTAGTCAAATCTATGTATGGTTTTACTATGTTCAAACTGACAGACTTTATTTTTTATTTTTATTTTATTTTCTCAATTTTTCATATGATCCATATAGATTTCCCAAATGGCTAGAAGAAACAGCACTATTCGAAAAATTTTGAAACAGAAACGTTTGAATAACCCAGATATTTTAACGCAACCCACCTACAATAAGGATAATCCATCTTTGAAGGCTACATCTGCTAAAGAAAATAGAAAGAAACGGAAAAGAATTAAGTACAAACAAAAATTAAAACAAAATAAGCATAAGAAAACCAACCCCCCTAAACCTACTTATTATTCAAAGAAAACTTGGATCAGAGGTATGAAATCGCATAAAAACCTGACACCATTACAAAAGAGAAATTTACTCAAAATTCACAACTGGAAAAATTTAGAATCGAACTATACATGCCTGTACCACCTTCAACTATCCATAGATCAAGTCATTTATAAAAATGCCGATGCTAATGTGTCCACTACTAATTCCACCAAATCCGAACAAATTCCTCCTGAAGAGACACTAGAATATATAAACAGTATTCAATTAGACATAGCAATGTTAGAAAAAAGAATAGATCAAATGAAAAACGAAGTAATACAGACCGAGAAAGACAAAATCAAAGATATAAAAGAAAAGGCACCCCTCAAAAGATCAATCACACAACGCATTCATAAAATTAATAAATCTTTATCTACATTCAATGGTTTCATATAAAACAGGTCAATTATTACTAAGAATGGTTTAGCATCAAAGCTTAAAAATAAAGTTAATGATGAAAGGAAAACCTTTACCGTCAAAGAAAAAATGAAAACATTACATACGAACAAAATTCATAATTTCACTGATATCACCTTACCTTTGGGCGTTACCAGCATCCTTAACAAAGGCACCAATTTCATACCAACCTCTATTAACCTTAATCCTGCATCACTAAAAGATTCCACCTATAAAGAAGTTAAAGATGCCCTCAACAATATTATCTTAAAGCAACCTACAGATTATAACACTGTCCATAAAAGGAAGAAATCAACTGGTAAAAAGAAAAGTCACAATATCAACAACATCGATACCAATCCTTTCTCCCTCTTAGATCAACAGCAAGGAAGACCTAATTTCAATCAATACCTTATAGATTATGTACATCAAACGCTTAACTACACTAAAGAATACCTTGACGACACAAATTTCTCTAGGTTATCTCAACTGAATATGCTTAACATAGATCAACATACCTCACTGCAACTGTATGATATACAATGCAATCAAGACATAGTCATCACACAATCGGATAAAAATATGGGTTGGGCTCTTCTACCAATATCCTGGTACATCAATGAATACGCAAGACACCTGAAAGATGCTAACATTTACAAGATTATTGAAGATTTTAATCTGGATTTACACACCACAGAATGCAACGCAATACTTGGAAAATTAAAATCTCGTTTCAATAATCTAGTCTCGAATGATGACAAAGCTCTACTCAACCCTCTTTCCTCTACAAATATTCAATTACCTTACATGAAACTGCTCCCTAAAGTACATAAACTCTCTTCTATTGCCTCTTCTTCTAACTTATCCTCTCTTACTGGTAGACCTATAATCACCGCACACTCTTGGTCCACCTCAAATATCTCTAAATTGTTAGGCCTACATTTGGATAGCATCATTTTGAAATTTAAAGATCTCTTTGTTTCTAAACACATTCACTTTCCACTTATTTACAACTCCTTAGAGCTTGTTGAAATCCTATGTCAACATCCTATTTATAATATCAATAATTATAAATTGATATCCTTTGATTTCTCTTCTCTCTACACCAACATATCTTTTCAAGATACTATAAATGCTATTGTTAATAGTTGTAAATTACTTAAATTATCTACTTTTTACAGAGATTTCCTACTTAATATCAACCAATTTCTAAATGATAGAAACTTTTTTACTGTAGGAGGTCACATTTTTAAGCAAATTCATGGGATCGCAATGGGTAGTTACCATAGTAGACAAATGGCAGATCTAGTACTACTGTTATCTGAATTCAATTTTTTCTTATCAACATGCACTAATGGCTTACATATATTTGCACGATACATAGATGACGGCTTCATGTTAACCAATCACACTGATGCAAACCTCTTAATTAATTCTCTTATCACTTACTATCCTCGTCAAATTCCAATTTCTTTCAATTGCAACTCTTATTCTACTCACTACTTACATCTTACAATTTCAATCAATTACCATACAATCCTTTTCAATCTCATCCATTATCAGATCTATCAAAAACCTAATCATAAATATATGTATCCACACTATACCTCCAATCATCCTAGTCATATTTTCAAAGGGCTTGTTACCACAGAAACAATCCGATACAGCAGATTATCCGCCACCATCGACGACTACAACTTTATGTTAAACCTATTCACATTCCGACTCACCTCTCTTGGCTACCACATAAATTGTTATAATTGTTATATATATATATGTATATATATATATATATATATATATATATATATATATATATATATATATATATATATATACTGTTATGAACTATTTATAATCAATTCAAACATGGTTGTTAAATGTTAAACGAAGTTATATGTTCAGAGCGGATAATTATAACAGTCTAAAATCTAAAGTGATATGTTTCCTATTAATTTCAAGCTTATATAACCACTTGGGCGGTTGACAATCACTGATTGTCAATATATTCCTTAATTTTTACATTTACTGTAGCTAGTTCACCTTTTATATTTTCGTCTTTAATAATTTTTGTACGTTTTAAAAGTAATTTATAGCACTAAAACCCGAGCGGTTTTCACTTGTTGCGAAAATATTGATAAACATTATTGTTGATAATTGATCAAACAACCGTAAACAAGTTGTTCATTCATCAATTGTTGTTCTTCCTTGTCGTAACAATGTTGTTTTGCCATGATGGTTTGACAATATTGAACAATCTTGTTCTTACACCTATTAGCAAGCTTGTTTCATCCACTATTGTCAAGTCTTGTTCGAACAACTATTGTTCAGCTCTGTTCGCTCATCAACATTGGACAATGTTGATGGAACAATATTGAACAATATTGTCAATTCAACATCACTGTTCAACCTTGATAACAGCATTGTTCGGCTGTTGTTCATCGAACAATCATGATCAACCTGATCAATTTTTACGCGTGTAGGGATGCCTAGGTGATCACCTCTGTCACTATGGTGCCCCATTAACGCCATAGTACTTTTTCCGAATTGTTACAAATAAATATATTTGTTTGAACTAATTTTAAACTATTTTTAAAAAATTATCTATTATTTTTTATTTTTTTAAAATTTTTATTTTTTTTTAATAATTCTCTTTTATTTTTTTTCTATTACTTTGTTATTTTTATTTTCTTTATTACATGTTTTTATTTTCATTTTATCTTAATTACAATTAATTAAAAAAAAATGGCCCTGGCCCATTCACGCCATAGCAATATGCCTATATTTAAAAAAATATCATCTCTATGGCCCATTGACGCCATAGCAACTTTGTGGCCCAGGGACGCCATAGACCATGAAGCCTTTCGAGATGGTTAAAAGATTCGTTTGACGAAGTGGAAACACTCAGAGTGGTAGCTCAGATCATAGATATTATAAATAACACTAGAGGAGGCATTGGTATCAAAAACATCAGTCAAAAAAGGGAGCGCGATAATGGGGGGCAAATTCAAGTCCCGGACGCTAAGCCAAGCGCTGATTGGCTAGATCAGTGCCTCCTTAGCAACCACGTTAGTAACAATTTTAAAAAAATTATATTCGTTATTTAGGTCGCTTTGCCGGTTTTTTAAGGAAAAACAGTGCTTTTTAATACTGGTTTTACCAACTTAGACATCCTGGAATGATATTTTAGGCAAAAAAAACATTTAGAAACCGAAAAAAATCGTTAAAACGACTTATTTTGGCCTCGGACATTGTGAATGAATGAAAACCCGGGACTTGAATTTGCCCCCCATTAACACGCTCCCCAATTTCTCCTCGATGACCCCTCTAGTGTTATTTATAATCTCTATGGCTCAGATCGAACAGATTAAGATTTTGTCAAAATTTGCATATAAAGTTCACCGTACCTTTTAAAGTATTTAAAGTAGTTATGTCGAAGAGAAAACCTGCTTGGGATAACTACAAAGAGAAGGTAGCAAAGAAAAGAATGCGTAAAGGCGAAAAAAAAGCAGCAACTGGCCCAAAAGGTGGGCTGACTGTTCAGCGTTTGTCCGCGAACGTGGAGGGCAAATGTCAAAAGTATTCGCGCATCGGGCCTTTGACTTTAGTTCCCTGCGACAAAGAACTTACGCTGGAAAACATCAAAGCTGCGTGTAAGGCCCACTTCAACACAGAATTAGAATGTGATGTCCTTGCCAGTGAACGTGGTCCTTCCTATACCGAGTCGGGACAAATCCAGAACTGGAAAGTTTTGCACGTGCGCTTCGTGGAAGTTCTCGAACACCCCACGAACGAAAAATCGGGAAGAAACATCGCAAGCAAAAAGCCAAGTTTCCACAGCGAACCTGCAACCGGAAGCCCTCAAAAAAGCCATTCTCAGTATCCCCACTCGAAATCTGTCATTGTCGGACCATCGCCATCTGTTGCGCGTTCAGTGTCACTAAGTCAGATGCTGAAGTTGGGAAAAGTCAGTGTCCCAGATATCGATGTGGTGACTCTTCGGCTTGAAGAGTTTTGCATCTTGAGAATGGAGTGGCTGGAACCTTTTGAGGTATCACATTTTCCAGGCCCATTTAACTTTTTCTCCACAGCACGTGTGACATCGTCAATATTTGTATCGTAATCAATGTATTTTACATTAAAATAAAGCAAGCGACGTGAGAGTCCTTAAACTCCACGTATACATAGGATACTTCACTTTACAAAAATCTACAATTTCTTTTTGACGTAAATTCTGCGCTACATACGCTTTAAGGTCATCTTTTAAGTCCATATCGCCTTCCCAATCAGTATTCCTTACCCAAGACGCCATGATGGAATATGATGCATGCCCGAAAGGCTTCATGGTCTATGGCGTTCCTGGGCCACGAAGTTGCTATGGCGTCAATGGGCCATAGAGATGATATTTTTTTAAATATAGGCATATTGCTATGGCGTGAATGGGCCTGGGCCATTTTTTTTTAATTAATTGTAATTAAGGTAAAATGAAAATAAAAACATGTAATAAAAGAAAATCAAAAATAACAAAGTAATAGAAAAAAAATAAAAGAGAATCATTAAAAAAAATTTATTTGTAACAATTCGGAAAAAGTACTATGGCGTTAATGGGCCACCATAGTCACATATATCCGACG